ATGTGTATTTGACGAAAACAGTTTCTGACAGCGAATTGTTTACTATTTCCATGAGAGTAGCTCTAAGGTCTTCATTGATTACAAGGAAGGAAAAAGTGCTCCAGAAAACCATCTAGGTAATGTAGGTACTCATTCACTTTTCTCCAATTTCCATTATACAATTACATTATTAGGCGGTATATATAACATTTTTTACACGGTCGCACAGGATCTAACAAAAAATTTAAACTCGTAGTGGGCAGCCTACAAGGTCTTGGAAATAACCCAACTCTGACGCTTTAAATAAAAAGTTTGCGTAAACTGGGCCCATAACCTGTTAGGAGACTTTCTTTTTTTTTTTAAATAAAGAGCAGTTCTTGTAATTAAAAAAATCTCGTTGTGAGACTTGCTTTGAATTAACGCAAAAGAAATGAGACAAACTAACCGTCAACTTTTAGGTCACACTGCGACTGCGACGCGAACTTCCGCCGATGCCTGCAGAACGTCAATTCGGAAACGGCGAACACGATCGGCGCGATATTCTTCAACGTGGTCCAAGTGATATGCTTCAAGCAGCGGAACCCCTGCTCGGAATTTCAGAGGTAAAACCTTCGATGTCTTGTGACTTTTCGTCTAGTTTGCTGTTATAGTAGTGAGAGAGTCGACGAGAATGCGGTAGAGCATGATAAGTGTGGGATAGAGTTTGCTGTAGTTGAACGCTACGAGCCGTCGAGAACGTTTTGCTGCAGTACGAGAGGAGAAGTACTTGAAATATACTTTAATAGAATGTTGAAGAAGCTTCACCTTTTATGATTTCTGTCGAATAAAGTGCTTTGTATTATATCGAATTTTTTTTCCAGAAACGGCTACACTAAGGAGGAGGCGGATCGCATCTGCTCCCAGTGGAAGTACAGACCGTCCGCCAAGTACTATCCGCTTATGTCGCTGCAAACACGCTAAAAATCGCAAACGAACGAGGTTTTTGGCTCGAAATTATTAGCCTAAGTAGTTCGGGTTGATAGTTAAGTCGTGTTACTTAGCTTTAACAATTGGAACACTACAGCGAAGTAGGCCCAATTAGAGTTATAAAAAGAATCCATCCACTCGCACTTAAAAAATGCGCTATAGAAATGTGAAGTCGAGAATTTAGGTAGATTGTACAATCGAGCCTCACTTTTAGTCACCAATTGAAAAAATAGTGGGTTGTAAGTGTTGAATAAAAATGTGCCAAGCAGAGAGCTTGTAGAAGTTTGATTGTAGGACAACCTACCCTTTGCTTTGGTATTTTTTTAATTTGGCGAATTCTGTTAATCCATTTTTTTAAATTTTGTTTTTGGTCTTTATTTTTAAGTGGGCTGGAGCTGATCTACCAACCTAACCCACTATGCATTTTCAAATATCCATGCACGAACACTTTTCCACGCCACTGCATCATAAAAAGACAGCATCCTGAACACTTTCATTAAAATTTCTTAAAAAGAACCGATCATAATTTTTTTACAAATCAAAAAAATTACGATACCTTAATTAAAGTGTTTTCTAGAATCAGTGGTTTTTATAGAGTACAAACGGTAGGGACCTTCCTCGAAAAGATGGAGTCTTACAACTCGACAATATAGAAATGGCACTAAGCAATCGCAGTATCGCGTATGTCTAAGTAGTACGGTTACGAAAATTAGAGCGCGAAGTTACCGGAAATGTTTAAAAGTGTCAAGCTTTAGAGACCTTGAATTAGGGAATAATCAGAGAAGAGAAGAGCAGAGCGGCGATTTACGTGTAAAGCGAAAGTTAGTCGCGATCGCATTGGAAACTCTCAAGCCATTGCGTTTTCGGGAGAGCGGTATATGAGTGGTTTTCTTTCGGGCAAATTAATGTTGGTGTTACGTGCTTCAGCCGCGCTTTAGTTACCTGCTGATTCGTGCATAATTTACGCTATTATCAACAAAACCGCACTTTGACATCAGAGAAGCACGCGTTGTTACAGCGATAGCGACATTTGCTTTGGTTCCGTTTCGTTTTTTTTATTGGCCAACCACATATAGAAAATGCCAGAAATCGCAATAGCGTGCGTGCTAGGTGTGCTCATGCGTAGAACTCTTAACAACATAAACAACACAACAACAGACGGTTTATTAAGATTTTCCACTATAATCCCATCTTTATATGCTATGCTTTCTGATACCATTATGGTATTAGTCCGCGTAACGGAACTAATTGATTTTTACTTCCAGAGGATTTGTGGGAACAACATTAACACAGAGACTGGCGTTCACAAGTAATGTAGCATTGAGAAATATGGATCCTTGGAACATAAATCGCCCTCTCAGAATGTACGGGGGAAACTTGCTTTGGTCGATTATAAGGTCTCGAAAATAATAGGTGCCCTAAAAATAAAGCAAAATGAAGTAAAATGAAGTAAAATGAAAGAAAAGAATGTAAAATGAAGTAAAATGAAGTAAAATCTAGAAGTAAAATGAAATTTTGGAATTGTCACACACCCTGTATACCTTCGAATACCCAATATCTAATCCCTACTTCTAGGCGCTAATACTGAAATGTGAAAGGTTTCGTAAAGAATCTAAAATGATATACAATAAATAATAAATAAATTTAAATTAATCTTCTCAACTTCATTAAAATACACAATAAAATAGTGGCTGATTAGAAATTTGCTATACGTGGTATATAAGGTTGATAAGAATTGGTCATGGTTCGAAATATGGAAATATATTTGCCTTGGGTTCCTCCCAGATTGAAGAGATTTTCTTGCTGCATCTTTCCTGATGGCAAGGTGTGTCTTGGCTGATGGCGGATTAATTACACGAAACACGTAGCGTCCACGTAGAATATTTTTTATTCCATGCGAATATGATTTTTTATTTTGATTTTGCATAAACGTAAATGTGCAATTTGAAATGTGCAAATTAGCGGAAATTTGAACTTTTTAAATCTACGGTAGTTGAACACGGACCTACCACTTTTTGTGGAGTTTCAAGGTCGCGGCCTTGGTGAGGCGAGGTTCCCCGGGTTTTGGACTTGGCCTTGGTGAAGGGGATTTCCAGTTACGTAACTAACAATTTCCTCGGTGAAAAAAGTCGTGGTCTTGGTGAAAGAGATTCCCTAAGCGGTGACCTTGTTTTATGGTGCAAGGCCGTGCTCGGGGATCTCCTCGGCGAAAAAGCCCAGGTCATCTGTAAAAAAGGTCCGGCCGTCCGGGTAGTATTCAATCAATCACCCGCAGGCGTGCGTGTTAAAATTGGCTTATTATTATCGGTTTTATGAAACTCTCTCATTATCTAGTTTACGCCATTGTAGTGATATTATTATTTGTGCATCCTTTCGTGGGTGAATATTGTTTGTGAACTTTTATGTAAGTACATAACCTCTATTGTTTTGCTTGAACGCTTTGCTTTTCTTCTTTGTAAAATTTGAAACGCATAATTTGTCATTTTCTAAAAAATAGCTTAGGTTTTCAACATGACGTGACATGACATGAGGTATTAATTTTTGCATTGCTTTATATCGTATTTGTGTTTTGTATGCCGCATTTTATACTTTTTGTATGTTTCAATCTTCGTTTTTGAAATTGACTTGGTTTAACCGCAATGCAGAATAACATATGTGATACCGTTATGCTATTGATTGTAATTGTTTACGTTTTTGGTGTAATTTTTGCTTAATTTATGTTTATTGATGTTGATTACTTGGTCTTGTCCCTGAAGTTACCTTCATATAAATTTTGTTTATTTTAATATGTGAAAATTACCGATTCGTTTGATGTATGTACTGGCTTGTTGTTTGTAACTAACCATTTTCTCCGTGAATGAAGCAGTCACGGGGGTGGTAAAAACTGTAGTCAAAATTAGCTACGACACCTAATTGCGTGATTGTCTTCGACTTTCAACTGTAGGCTCGAAACCCCGAAACCAGGGGCGAGTTACCTATCTTGCAAGAGCGGGATTACGCTAATCAAAGCTCTTCAGTTTAGAATCTATGTGCGATAAATGAGTGGCGATTCAATAATTTCCACATAATTATCTTGTTTTTAGTTAAATTTGCCTACAGGGCTATGTAATTTTCCATCTTGCTTTTAACAAAAGGACTTTATTGCACCAAAAATGAGTCACATCTTGTGTATTTCACCCTTTCTTAGAATCTTGGTACCTGCTTACCTGACCCATAATTCCCCAAACATGTTTTTAACCTATATATGTTACCTCTTGAAGTTTACCTGCTACTTTTTGTGATATTATAATTTTATGTTACGCATTCATAAAAGTTCATTTTTGCAATGTAATCTATTTCGACTTAAATTTCCGAGCGTTCACAATCTTAATAATTGCGATCATTATTAAACAAACTTGTCACAATTTGAGTGTTTTATTTGGGGGAGGATTCAAAGGCAATATTTTAATTTCGTTGTATTTCGTTTGAATGCATTTTGGTTATCGATACGTCCGAATTGTAATTATTATTTTGTGACAGTCCGTTATTCATGCGGGACTTTTGCTTTATCCAGACACAAATGTCGTCAAGACTTTGGCAACATTCTCGCATAGAAAGCATTGCGATATTTCTGTAACGTTCCCATCTGAATAACTTTTCTCACGTGTTATTTGCTTGGGCGTAAAATTTCTGGACGTTGCAACTTGAATTATTACAGTAGCCAAAGTAAGAGACTAAGTATCCACATTAAAGCCATAGGTTCAACGACACTTTTAACAATTTTCAACCACGATACGTAGGTACAACGCCGCCTGCTGTTCATATAGCAACCTCGACGATGCCATAAATTGACACGATAAAAAGCGACAAAGGTGGAACCAGAGGGGAAGTTGTGACCGCGGCCATTATGATATTATCAAAATTGGAATACTTGGCGATCAAAAATGAGTGACCGTAGTGACCGTCGCGTCACTCATTTTTGATCGCCCGATACATGCAAGTCCAATCGAACGAATTCACATTTTTCTGTTGTTCACCGGTTTGGTTTGTGAAGGTATGAGGTGTAACTAAACGCATAACAATATTAGTGTATATACAAGCGAAGGTTTTATATGTACAAAAATTAAAGTGTTCAAAGTGAAAGAAAAGTGTGTCAGAACAAGACTTCCATTACGCGTAGCACGTCCTCTACTTAGACTGGACCTTCATTCCGGCGCCCTTCATCATCATTCTACCACCAGCCCTTAATTCGCACTTGTACATGCCGCTGGTCGCTTCGGTTACCTTAAGCAGCGTCACTTTGACGCGCGACGAATTCTTCATCTGCAATTCGGTGGTCAATTAAATGAACGGGGGGAAAGGCGGTGGACTTACATCGACCTGTATACCGGAAACGTACTTGGTGGTGGTTCCCTTGGGGGTAACGGTGTAGAATTCGTTATCATCCTTGAACCACTTGATCGATTCGAGAGTGTTTCCTCCTAAGTCGAGGTCCGCCTCAAGAACGACTGCCGAACCGGCTGTAGGGAAGGAGGGAACTTTTACGGCGACCGAGAGATCTGCGAAAAAAATTGTTTACTGGAAGATTGCCAGGCGGAGATGAATCACATTGTATATCCTTTTTATAAAATTGTGTATAAAATCGCTTGTTGCCAAGACGCTTTATATCCGCCCACGCTCTGCAGCTGCCCTATAAATTGTTGGCAACCGCCTTTCTCGAATTACACAATAGCAAAAGATGTTAATTCTCCAGAAGTGCAGGAATGAGTCACTCCCTGCAGGTCGCGACACATTTGCCCATATACGTCAACTTGCTCTCTGCCATCATCTTGGTTACCTAACTTTGGGCGTTTTTAGAAAAATTGCGGGCTAACCGTGAGAGAGGCTACGCCATAAACCGGCAAATAGAGTCATCCCCTTGGAGTTTCGGGCGCTGTAGACGAATCTCTTCAGAGGATCACTAAAAAAGCGTCAGCTCAAATTTGTTAAAATCAATTTGCAAAATTGGGCGTCGCTGGTTTTTAATGTGTGTTAGTAAAGTGTAGTCTGCAGTTGACCTACCTCCCATATTTGTAGTTGTCGGGTACGCGCAAATGCCACAAGTTGTTGAGCGGGTGGGTTGTCTTCAACTGAAGAAAGTCGACGAAAAACTGACGTGCGAAACTGAAAATCTCGTTGCACAATTCGCGGTTTATTAATATTACCTCCTCCAGAAATATCCACATAATACCGCACGTCCGTCGTTTCGGTTTTCTCGCGTCGAAACCACCGTAAAAATTTATTTGGCGTCGGTAGCGTTTTATTACAAATTGTTTCCCTTTCTATTTTCGCGTTTTGCGGAATTTTTTAATTAATGGACGGTGATTAATCGGAGGCAGCTGGCGCGGGCGAGCCGTGTCAAAACGTAGGCGCGCGTATTTCTCAAAATTTTACTCTAATTACCGTCAGCTTACGATGAATGAAGTTGCGTACAGTTAATTTGATACGCGAACTTTTGATTCGCAAATCTGTCAAACGGAAAAAATGCGTGGAATAAAATTGGGTTAGGTAACCAATTAAAAGGTCACACCTTTTCACTCGCCTAAGAAAACAAACCAAAAATTTACTGTCAAAATTCTTCTAACAAACTTCTGACGAAGAAAGGTGCCCGTCTCGATTCCCGGGTTGGTCCGGGGTAGATATTTCGGCAGTTGGCCCGGGTGCAAGGTCAAATACAACTTTTGAACAGTGAGGAAATTTTTGGCGCACAACCTTTGAACTTTGAACGGTGAAGAATGGACTTTGGACGGCGGCCGAAATTTGAACTTTGAACAGTGGTTGTAGTTTTCGAATCAGTTATTGGGCTGACTTTGAAGTTGTAAGTGTGCGCATGCGCTATCTTTACGCTCACAACCTTAGACGGTTTTAGTAGATAATTTAGTCTTGTCGCAGTCATGGCGGCTGTTTAACCAAAACGCGGAGTGATATGCTGAATCTGTATGTGATTCCTGTGCAATGACGTTTTGGTGTATGGGGGATGTAATCCATGCCATAATTCAACGAACCTGGCACGAAGATCGACTATCGCATGGAATACGCTCAGTAGACTACAGTTACTCAAGATTATAGAGAAACGGTTATGGAGTCTTTCTTTCTTGGGCCTTGAAACCCTCTTTTTTTCTTTTATTGGTGATACGTTCTTTGCAGTATACTTGCTAGGCGAAGAGAATGTGATAATTCTTCTTCCAAAAATTATCATGAGAGCGTTACCTGGGGGTCTGGGGGGTTTCCAATACCCCCACAGTAGACTACAGTTTTATTGCCATCTCCAAAAAACCACCAGGAGGTTACTGAAGCTTATAGAGAAATGGTTTCTTTGATGCTTCCTTTTGCTGGGGGGTATTCCATCCCCCCCAGACCCCCCGGTGCTACGCTCTTTGCAGTAATTGTTAGGAAAAACGAATCTGATAATTCTTTTCCCAAAAACTATCATGAGAGCGTTACCGGAGGGTCTGGGCGACATGGAATCACTGTCGGTAGACGACACTTTTATTGCCATCTCCAAAAAACCACCAGGAGGTTACTGAATAGCTTATAGAGAAATGGAAAATTCGCGCAGGCTGCTCTTCGAGACGCCACGAAGTCATTTCGAGATCCGATCCAGAGCGCGCTTCGTGGAGTCCGTTCGACCGAGTCGAGTTTCGAAGACTTCAAGAAGAGGCCTGCGGTCCTTGACCGATGAGGATTGCTCCCTCTGGAAGATGGCAAGGGCGCTACGCCCCTCCCTACCGAGATTGGAGTCGAAGGACTGGTACATAAGGACGCCGAGAAGGCCGACGGCTTCGCAGAATGTCTGGAACGTCAGTTTTCTCCCAACTCCGAAAACGGGGACCTGGACTTTATCGACGCCATCAAACGAAGGGTCACGAGATCCATACGACAAGACGACGAAGAAGCGCTACCGCCCTCGATCGAGGAAGAAGTTTCCGACGCCATCAAAACAACAAAACCCGAGAAAGGCGCCCGGACAGGACGGCATCGCGAACATGGCGCTCGAAGAGCTCCCTCATCATGCGGTAAGAGTTCTCGCTTTCATTCTAAATCAGAGCGGGGTAGTGCTTTGAAAAAAAGTGCTTGTTAAAGGACTTCAATTACTTTTAGTGCTTAGAGCTCTGTGCTTCAATTACTTTTCTAATTCAGGAAAAAGTGCTTCAATTACCAAGCACTTTTTAAAAGTGCTTGGAGCTTCAAGCCCTATTGAACTGCTTGAAGCACCAAAACCAAACCAGAATCCAAATTAATTCGTACTTTTTCTATCAGACTTCTCAATCAAAAGTTATAGACTAGAAACCAATTTCGAAAAAAATTCAAAGGGCTGTAACTTTTGAACTAGTAGCCCAATCTTGGAACTGTTTGAAATTATGGATTCTACAGGCCAAATTATGGATTCTACAGGCCACATTCTATAAGAAAAATTTTTTGCCGGGTCGATCTGAGACAATTTTTTTGCGGGCCTCAAAAAAAGGCAGGGTATAACCTTCCTTTTTTTTTACCAAAAATCGACTACACCAAAATTTCTCGGGAAAACACTTTTTCTTATTAATTTTGGTGCGTAGAATCCAAAACAATTCGTACTTTTTCGATTAGGTTTCTTCTCAATCAAAAGTTATAGACTAGAAACCAATTTCGAAAAAAAATTCAAAGGGCTGTAACTTTTGAACTAGTAGCCCAATCTTGGAATTGTTTGAAATTTTGGATTCTACAGGCGACATTCTATAAGAAATTTTTTTTTCCGGGTCGATGTGAGACAATTTTTTTTTCGGGGCTCAAAAAAAGGCAGTGTATAACCTTCCTTTTTTACAAAAAATCGACTACACCAAAATTTCTCGGGAAAACACTTTTTCTTATTAATTTTGGTGCGTAGAATCCAAATCAATTCGTACTTTTTCGATCAGACTTCTCAATCAAAGGTTATAGACTGGAAACCAATTTCGAAAAAAATTCAAAGTGCTGTAACTTTTGAACTAGTAGCCTAATCTTGGAACTGTTTGAAATTATCGATTCTACAGGCCACATTCTATAAGAAAATTTTTTTTCCGGGTCGATCTGAGACAATTTTTTTTTCGAGGCTCAAAAAAAGGCAGTGTATAACCTTCCTTTTTTACCAAAAATCGACTACACCAAAATTTCTCGGGAAAACACTTTTTCTTATTAATTTGGGTGCGTAGAATCCAAATCAATTCGTACTTTTTCGATCAGACTTCTCAATCAAAAGTTATAGACTAGAAACCAATTTCGAAAGAAAATTCAAAGGGCTGTAACTTTTGAACTAGTAGCCCAATCTTGGAACTGTTTGAAATTATGGATTCTACAGGCCACATTCTATAAGAAAATTTTTTTTCCGGGTCGATCTGAGACAATTTTTTTTTCGGGGCTCAAAAAAAGGCAGTGTATAACCTTCCTTTTTTACCAAAAATCGACTGCACCAAAATTTCTCGGGAAAACACTTTTTCTTATTAATTTTGGTGCGTAGAATCCAAATCAATTCGTACTTTTTCGATCAGACTTCTCAATCAAAAGTTATAGACTAGAAACCAATTTCGAAAAAAAATTCAAAGGGCTGTAACTTTTGAACTAGTAGCCCAATCTTGGAACTGTTTGAAATTATGGATTCTACAGGCCACATTCTATAAGAAAATTTTTTTCCGGGTCGATCTGAGACAATTTTTTTTTCGGGGCTCAAAAAAAGGCAGTGTATAACCTTCCTTTTTTACCAAAAATCGACTACACCAAAATTTCTCGGGAAAACACTTTTTCTTATTAATTTGGGTGCGTAGAATCCAAATCAATTCGTACTTTTTCGATCAGACTTCTCAATCAAAAGTTATAGACTAGAAACCCTGGTTTCCAGTAATATGAAAGGTGCTTTATATTGTTTATATTTATATTAATTTATATTGTCAATTACTGTGATTCAAGCACTTTTAATGGCTTTAAGCACTTTAAATGGTTTCAAGCACTTTCCAAGGGCTTGGTGCTTTGTATTTTCAATTACTTTAGAGAGTGCCTGGTAATTCCAAGCTCTTTCATTACATAAAAGTGCTTAGTGCTTCAAGCCCTTTTCAGGAGGGCTTTACCCAGCTCTGTTCTAAATTGCGGTACCTACTTCCCATCTCGTTGGAAACCGTGCCGACGCAATTATGTTACTGAAGCCGCCCGATCAGCCTGCTGTCTACGGTCGCCAAAGTAGCAGAAGGTGATCCTGAAGAGGAGGAGGGACGCGTCATTCAAGACGAGCAATTCGGGACACCCTACGGTCCAGGAGGTGCTAAGGATGGTAGAACATGGGGCTTTAACCGCAATCGGTCCACGGGATCAGTTTTTTTGGACGTCTCTAAGGTTTTCGATACCTTAAGGTCTGGCCCAACGGGCTGCTGTGGTCCTCTCTGTACGTTCGAGACATGCTGAAGACACCACACTGGCTCTATACGTGGACGACCTCGCCATCCAAGCAAGATCGTGGAAACCACCGCCCATCTCTAGGAGACTGGTAGGGAACCTGAATACGTATGAAAAGGACCAACCGATGATTCTGCCTCCAAAGCGGGACTGTTACCTATAACGGAAGCAGAAGCGGAAATAAAAGATATTTTTTTGCGGTAGCGGGGGTAGAAACGCGAATGTAAATCGGTACTATTACAAATTTGAAAAACTCTATTACCATGAGCAACTAAATAATACAACTCGTAACGCAAGAATTGGTGCGATAAACTAATGAAATGAGCGAAAATAGATAAAGACAAACAAATCGCGCACGTCTGACAAACCCCGCCTGCCGTCACGTTCGGCCAATCAGAGCGCAACTTGTCATATTTGAAAAAATCCGCTATACTTCCGTTATAAAATAGCGGAACCGGAAGTGAGAAATATGCTGAACTTCCGCACATTCATAATTGCTCTCTTTAATTACCAAGGTAAGTGGCACAGAAAGACAGACTGCAATGAAAGAGTATTACCCAATATATAATTATCGATAAAAAATACATTAATAACATTAAATACAATTTAAGTCTTAATTAAGGCACTATTTGTTTTGATAACAATTATTTCCAATATGACCTTTGGTATGTGAGATTCAATAATTCGCTTAGAAATAGAGTAAATTAAATTAACAAAGTAACATACAACCTAGCTACGTTACGCGGGTACAAAGCTTCGAATTTTCATTCGAAAGTTTGCTTCGCTAACTTAAAAGTTCCCATTAGCTACTAATCCCCTTTGAACACATCAAAAATAATTGACTACAACAAAAACAATAATAAATTTCTCCAAAAAATTATAACAAATACGGTCCTAACGAGTCATGAGGCGATCGCGTGTGATTTCTCGTGTACGTTTCGTTGGTCCTTCCGCCTGAACTTTCTCGTACAAATTGAGCAGTCGAAGTTTTTCTCTTCGGCGTGTGTGGCGAGGTGACGCGCCCACTGCGCCTTGTTCGTCGGTTTGAAGCACAACGTGCACTGTGTCATTTCCGTCTGTTTGAACAGTTCGTCGTAGTAGATCAGCTCCTCGGACGTGACGTAGATTTTTGGATGCGACTCCTTGCGGTGCTCGTAGAGGGACGTCTTGCTGTTGAAGACCTCGCCGCAGTCAAGGCACGTCTTCGGGTACATGATCGCGAGCTGCTTCATGTCGCCGAGGTAGGGTTCCGGTTCGACTTTCACCTTTACGGGCGGGTTGTTGTTGACGTACGGTTTCGGCCTGAGCTTCTGCAGTTGACTGGTCGAGGAATTGCCGAAGCTCTTCCTTGCCTTGGCTCGTGGTGCTTCCTCGATGGTTATCGGTGTGTCGTCTTTAAAGTTGCAGATCTTCATGTGCTGCAGTTGGTCGTCTTTGAACGCATAGGCGAAGCAGCAAAACTTGCAGGGGAAGAACTCGGTGCCGTCATCCGCGAAGACCACCTCCGGTATCTGAGACACGCTGGTTTTGGAGATGTTGTTGTTGATGACATTCAGAAGACTTTCCGTTGGTTTGTAGGTTATCTGTGACGAATCCGACATTTTAACAACTTATTAATGTAACACTAACGCGTGAATAACATGAAATTAAAAGTAAAGGTGTAACAAGGCAAAATAGAATAACTAATTAAATAAAATCAAAATTTTTGTAAACACAAAAATTATTTCTGTATTGTCAAACTAAAACTACCAACCTAAAAGTTTAAAATCACTAATTACTGTCAAGTTCAATGCTCTTATAGGTTGGACAGCCTGCTATAGTTATGTACATACAGAGTAATCACTCAAATAGCCGTCAATAGAAATACGTTACATTTAAAATGACTCTTTAAGAACTCTCTTTTAAGGCATTATCAGGCCAGTAGTGCACCACCAAACTCTATGCTAACTTCACACCATAGTAATACGGAAATAAAGTCAACACTGCAACTTAAAAAAGTGCCATCAAAATGGCTATTCCCTTCAAAAGCTAACCGGATCTTACTTAAATTTGAAATCGAAGAGTTTCAAGTGATCGAAAGTAGAGTCCCCTTTCCTTTACGCATTTTGATCAGTTATTCTAATAGTCAAAATGGTGTCAGTGAGCAGGATAATTTGTTGCATTAATTGATTGATAATAAAGAATGATAAAGGTACATCACAGGCACAAAAATGAATGCAGAAAAGCAAAGAGCTGGCGGTGGAACAAAACGAGTTTGTCGTACAAGAGGACACATCTTTGGTGCAATTAAATCCTCTTTGTTAAGAGCAAGATGAAACATTATATGGATTTGAAAGGGCAAATTCAACTTTTAGTGAATCGCAACGCATCTTTTAACCCTATACGGCGTATACTCTCCAATACAACAACGGCCATCGCAATTGAAGATTGCGGAAATTAAAATGATCCAGCAACCTGGAAAACCAGCAGAAGAAGTCAGCCATAAAGCTCTATTCAATTCCCTTCCCGACTGTTTCTCAGTTTCAACATATAAAAGCATTGCCATAGTAAAAAACAATGTACGAGTCCAATTTGTACCACCCAGTACCTACCAGCGCTTTGCTACCGAGGTTTGAAAGAGGCGCGAAATGTCCGTTATTTTGACATGAAAGATGGCTCTGCTTGTAATATAATATCAATGATTAATATATATATGTATTCTTCCAGGACTGCTAACTGTAAGTATAGCAGTGCCATTTTATTTTAAATAACAAATGGTTATACCCTTATACCTTGTTCGGAAATAGAATTGGTTCATCTGCTTATTCAGATTTGCACTACTGGAAAACGGCAACATATTACATAGTTAAGTAATTTTGATTCGCCCTATACATAATACAATTGAAGTTTGTTTAAAAGTGAGGTTAAGGCTACAAACTTCATGTCTTCGTAATTTGAAAAGTAAAAATCTTTATTGCTCATCTTTTTAGACCAATGAGATCAAAACATCCAAAGAAATGTAACTCGTCTTAAGGCGAAAACGAAGGTTTAAGATGAGTACATTCACCAAAATGCAAAAGGTGGCCTTAGGACTTGGGACGGTCGGCGGCTCCTGGTGCTTTTTCAATTTCTTCAACGCCGATAGAAAGGTATTCAACTCGTGGACGACGAATTTCACACCCTCCGTAAAATGGGACGACAATTGGGACCAGTAGGTAACAAGACAAGCTTCTCGTATTTAAAATCCGTTGCAGTCGTTCACCGACGTCGCTCGTTCATCCCAAGCTTTTCAAACTGTCGGACGAGAAAGGCGACAACCAAATAAACGAAAACAAAGAACGCGCAACACCGAAAGTAAATCGGCACATTATTTTAATTCGCCACGGCCAGTACAACATGAGCGGTGAAACCGATAAAGAAAGGTACTTGACTGCGTTAGGTCGGTCGCAGGCGGAGTATACGGGGAAACGATTACTAGCGCTCGGTTTTCCGTACACTTCTATGATTAAGTCGACGATGACCCGCGCTCAGGAAACAGGCAGCATAATTAGCGCATCGTTAGATAATGTAGCGCTCGAATGCATTTGGATTTCTCTTAGCATTGTCTCGTTTCAGTTGCCAGTAAGCGACTGTAATCTAATAAGGGAGGGAGCACCAATTCCACCTGAGCCGCCAGTCGGCCACTGGAGACCTGAAAAGCAGGTACCAAACTATTCATTATCAGTTTTAAAGTCGTTAGCTCGGTAATTGGGCGTACTCAAAAAGTTGTATATACAGGGTGTCCCAGATCATGTGGGAAATGGGCCGTTTGATGTGTTGCCTAAAATGGCTTTTGTAAATTCAAGATGGCGGTTACAATTTTTCTTTTTCATCAGCATGTTATGAAAAATTGGTCGCCATTTTCCAATATGGCGGCGCGAATCTCAAGTGGGGTTTTAGGGAACTTGACCATTTATTCTAGTTTTCCACCAAAACCTTTGGGATTTAGGTGTAAAATTCTCTTGGATTACCAGGCTAGATTGACCATTAGTTTTAATGCAAATAAAAAATCTTATTCCTTTGATTTTTTCACGATTTTTAGCAGTTCTATCAGGACGGCGCGCGTATCGAGGCCGGTTTCCGCGAGTACTTTTACAGAGCGGACGCGTCGCAAGAGAAGGAGACTTACATGATTATGGTGTGCCATGCGAATGTGATACGCTACTTCGTATGCCGGTAGGTCGTACCTAAAACTAGACCGTCAACTAACCTCTGATTTTAGCGCTCTTCAATTTCCTGCGGAGGCGTGGTTGCGTATATCTTTGAATCACGGCAGCATAACTTGGCTTACGATCACGCCGAAGGGAAGAGTTATATTGAGGGCGTTAGGTGACTCTGGTCATATGCCGGTCGATGCAATTACGTATTAAATTATTAGTTGGTTAAGAATATTTTTGAAATTTTTTGTTTGGCAACTTCGTATGTGTTATTTGTTTGTAACAGTTTTATAAAATTTTTTGCTGGCCATTTAGTTCTACTTGTTCCCCTTTTTCCCTGTTCCAGGAACGCTTCGAAAAGGATCAGGGTTCCAATGACTCAATTGAGTTCTCACTTAGCGGCATTCATCTCGAAATACAACATTAGTCTAAGGTTACCGTTTCCACGACCTTCAGATACCTCTGGACTGGAAAAGGTCTTGCTAATTAACAATGTATTTCATTCACGGAATTGCTTTGGAATCTATTTGAGCTGGCCATTCATTGGCTTTTCAAACGTATTAAATTAATGTCAGATATTATTCGACTTCCAGGGTCCCTGATGGTTTGTAGCCTTTAGATTGTATGCTGTAGTTTAAGAGTGTATAGCCTCTAGCATGTGGTTTCGATCCTTTGCTGTATCTGTTCCTTTCTGATCTCGTGTGGGACCCTCTAATTGATTTTTTTTTGTGCAGTAAGTGGCGTTTGCGTGCTTGCGTGATAATCGATTTTAATTAGAATATTCTTGCATTGTTACCTGCGCTTTTTACGATGCCGGAATAAAGCCATGCCTATCTTGATGTCCTTTAGGTACATGCAATTTATCATTTGTGAGTTGCATTGTTCAAATTGAACCGTAGATGTTGTAGAATACTTAATCCCGCTCTTGTAAGATAGGTAACCCGCCCCTGGTTTCGGAGTTTCGAGCCTACAGTTGAATGTCTAAGACATTCACGGAATTAAGTGTCATAACTTAATTTTGACTACAGTTTTTTACCACCCTCGTGACTGCCTCATTCACGGAGAAAAATTTTAGTAACAAACAACAAGTCAGTACATACATCAAACGAATCGGTAATCTCCACATATTAAAATAAAATGATCAAAACTCAAATGAATGTTACTTCAGGGACAAGACCAAGTAATCAACATCAATAAACATATATTAAGCAAGCATTACACTAAAAACGTAAACAATTACAAACAATAGCATAACGGTATCACATATGTGATTATGCATTGCGATTAAACCAAGTCAATTTCAAAAACAAAGATTCAAACGCAAAAAATATAAATTGTGGCATACAAAACACAAATACGATATAAAGAAATGCAAAGATTACTACCTGCATTAAAAAAACCACAAAATAACAACAAAGATTTATGGAGCGACGCGTTCACGACCGCCATCCAAGACAAAATAATCCACGTAACCCCCGTTCGTGCTTTTTAGATGGCGCAGGAAGCTTTTCTCCCACCTAGAAATTGCATGGTTGTCAACTCTCACAAATGTAGGTATGTATCGTCGTAAGTTGTATATACAGGGTGGAACCTCTCAATGTGTTTTATATGTAAGCATAGGGCAAGTCAAAATTGCAGTGTCGGATCCGGTACTGCAATTTTTGACACTGCAAACATCATCATAATTGTAATGTTTTGTAGTCTGTAGTGTATAGTCTGTAGTTTGTGGTCTGTGGTCTTAACTTTCTGACCTTTAGGTTATGTCTGTCTGTACTCTGTAGTCTGTAGTCTGTACTCTGTAGTCTGTACTCTGTAGTCTGTACTCTGTAGTCTGCACTCTGTAGTCTGTACTCTGTAGTCTGTACTCTGTAGTCTGCACTCTGTAGTCTGCACTCTGTAGTCTGTACTCTGTAGTCTGCAGCTCTGAAGCGCTGATTTCTACTTGTCTGAGATGTTGGGCCAATAAAAATTGCAGGGTTTCAAATGAGTGATGAAAAAAATTGATAGATAAATTTATTCAATATCTATATACAATCTTATAACCAATAAAAACTACGAGTAAAACGATCGTAGAAAAGAATGACGATAATCTAGCTCCCACACTTTCTATTTGGCGGCCGACGCGAGACGTAAACCACTGGTGAAGGTTTGACAGTTCGCTATAACCGTATTGACTCTTCGTTTGTATTAGGCATTCGTAAACCGAGTCGGCGACTAAGCCGTTCAGCTGGTACTGCTGTAAGCGTTCGGTACTTTCCGAATTGAAGCTGACCTCGTTCGGCCTGACGATCATGTCGTGCCACTGGTCGTGGTGGTGGTAAGTCGTGTTGATCTGAAATCGAAGCTCAAATTAAAGCGTCCACTATTCCCTCCACCCCGGAACCCACCAGCAGTCTTCTGAACAAGATTTTCGCCTCGACGATCGGAAAGACCGACTGGACGTTCCACGTCAGTCGGTAGCTGTTCGGATTGGAGAAGCCGGGACTGATGATCTCGGCGACGCCGGGTTTACCCGAGATTTCTATGTACTTTTTGTCTCTGCCGATCGAGTTGAGCACGACGCAGCTGTAGTTGCCGAAATCGGAGAACTGGACGTTTCGTATCGTTAGCGTCGACGTCGTTCCGGATGAGGTTATTGACCTTTTGTCCGTCGGCTGGAGCGGGAAGGAGTTCTGATACCACAGCACTTCGGCCGGCGGATCCGCGTTTATCAAGCAGCTGAGCTTCGCCTCTAAGCTATCGCCGGTGTTGTACCAGGAACGAACTACGTGCACTTCTGGTGGATCTGAAAGTGTTTTACAGCATGTAGGGTAAGAAAACGACAGAAAATCCACGAACTCACACAACACTTGCAACTTTACTTCGGACGTGGCTGGTTGTCCAATACCATTGGAGGCGGTGCACTGGTACATTCCCGCGTGTTGCTTTTGCAGGTCGTTGAGCGATAATGTTGATCCAGATTCGACCTGCAAACCTGATGGCAGTATTCCGTCCTGTAATACAAAAGTGTTAATTTAGTTAGCGATTTGCAAATTAGCAAAAATGCCTTTTGGGTTGTATAATGCGCCGGCCAACTTTCAGATTGTAAGGGGACAGGGTAAAAAATGTCACGAAAAATCAAAATATTTTGGAACCATTTGAGGTTTCACATACAGAAAGAGTCCTTATGGGCAACTACGAACCTAAGACACCTTTTCGTATGTAAAAATAGCAATAGCATAAATTGAGTTTTTATTAAGGTTCGAACAAGGGTAGTGGTGCCTGTCAGAGGGGCCAGTTGCACTCGTTTTGTTTTCGTACTAAACGATGAATTGTTATTAATCAGTTGCAGTTTTAAATTGCTATCATGCGAACGTTTTCTCATTCATTCGCAATCACTAAATTATTTTCATAATTTGTTGCGACGTGCACAGTCGGATAGGATGGCATTTTATACGTTTCGGTAAATTAATTTTCAATTGAAACTCGCTTTAATTAGTGAAACACGAATAAAAACACGCCAAATGAATTGACGGCCATTATATTGTTAATCGGTGCGTTAAATTCAACTATTTGTCAGTTTGATTCGCTTGAATGTGCTACTAATTATACGTTATACAATGCGTTTGTTAATATTCTGGTCACGGTTAATTAACCTGAACTGAAAACACTCTATAGTCATTTCGTTTGTACTTAATCTTTTGATGTTTGTCACATTCTTTGTGCCGAAATAAACTCGTAATCGAACGCGCATGACGAAAGTCGCGTGCGCGCATGCGTCGAACCAATTTTTATACGTCAGCCACCATCGACGATTCACTTCCAATTGAAGAGGTAGAAGTATCGAGCAGCTTATTACCTTCTTCGACCATTGCACGATGGGGGCCGGATTTCCGGTCGCCTGACACTCGAACAGCACCGATCCTCCTTGTTTTGCGGTCACCTGGTTTTCGGGCGGAATGATTTGCAAGTTCGGTGGAACTGAAAACAAGAATAAGCATCAAATTCAACACGAATCTTAGATTTTATTACATAATGAATTACCAGATTTACTTCCACTTTATTGTCGCGCCAATTCGTCGCTGTATTTGGCATGAGAACCGCTAGTTCAGCATAAGAGCAGCGGGACACACAAGGAAATAGGTACATGAGAACTGTACTTAGGCGTTTTGTAAGGAAGGGTGGGGGGAGGTGGTAGGGGTTGGCCGTAATTGGCATATCTTCGGGAACTTTCGAGTTAATGAATGTTGGGCACTCGCCATGATTTTTTAATAACACGTTGACATGTTGGGTTGGAGTTTTGTGTAAAGAAAGGCTACCAGTTAATTTTTGAACTAGTTTGGTGCAATTTTATTAATGTTAACGTTGTTTAATTGCGCCAGTAGCTGTAAAATAAAACAAGATACGAAGAATAGCATACGATTTTCAGTAGGGGAATTTTTTACCACTCAGCTCGTATTCGGAAACCAGACTTTTAATCCGGCTCATATTCAATAGCACTGATCCTTGAACTCGTAGAAATCGATTGGCGAAAGTTTGACATCGCTATCTCTTTTCGTTCCCGAGTTAGACGAGGATCAGATGGAGAGACGGACAAAACCATCACATAAGAGGGATTTTTTTGACGTTTCTTGCCTCTCAGGAACTAAAGCTAAAAACAAAAAAATGCGTCGGTAAATACGGAAAATTTCCAGGTGACCTTCCCGAACTGAATGTTGGTTGAGAGTGTAAATAGATATTACTGCAGTAATTGGAACACTTGATACTAAAAATCGAAAGCTTCAAAGACCATTTGCCAGTTTTTTAAATCCCTTAGGGCGTTTTCACATTTACAAAGAAGAGGAGACAATATTTTCTCTTAAATATCCAAAATCTTCGTATTAGGGTAATATTTCTTACCGAAAACCAAAAAAATGTGTGTTTTTCCACCCTTCAGTGGGACGTTTCTTGGTTCTCAGGAGCTGAAGCTAAAAACAAAAAAATGCGTGGGTAAATACGGAAAATTTCCAGGTGACCTTCCCGAACTGAATGTTGGTTGAGAGTGTAAATAGATATTACTGCAGTAATTGGAACACTTGTTACTAAGAATCGAAAGCTTAAAAGACCATTTGCCAGTTTTTTAAATCTCTAAGGACGTTTTCGCATTTACAAAGAAGAGGAGACGTGATTTTCTCTTAAATATCCAAAATCTTCGTATTAGGGTAATATTTCTTACCGAAAACCAGAAAAATATGTGTTTTTCCACCCTACAGTGGGACGTTTCTTGCCTCTCAGGAGCTAAAGCTAAAAAACAAAAAAAATGCGTCGGTAAGTACGGAAAATTTCCTGGTGACCTTCCCGAAGTGAATATTGGTTGAGAGTGTAAATAGATATTACTGCAGTAATTGGAACACTTGATACTAAAAATCGAAAGCTTAAAAGACCATTTGCCAGTTTTTTTAAATCCCTAAGGACGTTTTCGCATTTACAAAGAAGAGGAGACATGATTTTCTCTTAAATATCCAAAATCTTCGTATTAGGGTAATATTTCTTACCGAAAACCAGAAACATATGTGTTTTTCCACCCTTCAGTGGGACGTTTCTTGGCTCTCAGGAGCTGAAGCTAAAAACAAAAAATGCGTCGGTAAATACGGAAAATTTCCAGGTGACCTTCCCGAAGTGAATATTGGTTGAGAGTGTAAATGGATATTATTGCAGTAATTGGAACTCTTGTTACTAAGAATCGAAAGCTTAAAAGACCGTTTGCCAGTTTTTTAAATCTCTAAGGACGTTTTCGCATTAACAAAGAAGAGGAGACATTATTTTCTCTTAAATAGACAAAATCTTTATATTAGGGTAATATCTCTTCCCGAAAACCAGAAAAATATGTGTTTTTCCACCCTTCAGTGGGACGTTTCTTGCCTCTCAGGAGCTGAAGCTAAAAACAAAAAAATGCGTCGGTAAATACGGAAAATTTCCAGGTGACCTTCCCAAAGTGAATGTTGGTTGAGGGTGTAAATAGATAAAAAACAAAATTGTTAGAATTGCAGAAGATGGAAGTGACATGGGACGGAAGGACTGCATCTTTTTGGTTGCCGAAGAAACATTTAAAGCGCATTTTAAAAAGTCGGACATTGCTACAGTTATAACTGAAGATACATACATAGCGAAGCTGAAAGTGTACTTATGTTTAGATAAGCCTCATTATTTCATGTTATCTGTTAACGCCGCCATACGCGAGTTACAAGAAACTGGACGCTTTAATAAAATGAACGAGGAGAACTTACTTCGCGAAACAAAAATGTCGGAAAAACCAGATGTTGTCAAACTGACACTTAAACATCTGCTCGAAGTTTTTGTTATCTTCGCGATTGGAGTCACTCTATCCATATTTGCTTTTCTTGCGGAATGCTTCGTTCATAAGGTCGCCAGGTGTACGTTAAGATTAATGCGTAAAGTTAACAAGACAAAAGTCTAAACGCATGCGGTAGTTTTTTAACGGGAGTCAGTGCGAATATACTCACGTGTGTTGATAAGTATGGGAAATTTCCAGTTGGCAATCCCAGATCCTACGTTGGAGTAAGAGCACAATTATTCGATATTCGTGCACGAATTGAAGCACCTTACAATTGTCAAGGTTTAAATGATGTAAACGTTTCTGTAGAGTAACAATCATATGTCATTTGAAAAAGGCGAAGTTAGAATAGTGAACTGTGTATGTACAATTAAATTGTAATGGATTTATTGTGATTGTCTATTGTTTTGTTTCCTTCTTATTTTTCCAACCTTCTCCACTTCTCTTACTCGTTATTAGTCTATGAATTCTGTAGAACTACTCGACCCATGGCATACCCGAATCTGATCTCAACAAAAAACCTGATCATAGGCGGTGAGCTACTAAATCAAAATTTCGAGTTTGAAATGAGTATTTTGAAGTAGGTCCTCAATTTGGAAGAACTCCGAAAGGTTTTTTGTGCAAATCGAAAACGGCTTCAATCAGCGTTTGGTGTGATATGTAACGCTGCTACGGGTTACAGGCTACCCTTAACCTCTTCGTAACCCAAGGACCTCTAAAACCTCCCTTCCAACCACCTCCTGTTCGCCAAGACAACCTGTGTATGTTTGGTTGCCTACGTCCAGGCCGAAGAATAACTCTTTTCAATTAACCCGAGTTTGTTAAAATCGGCTCAGTCGTTTCGAAGATACAGGGTGTTCTTTACGGAAACCTTAGAATATCCCCCCACCACTTCATTTTTAGAGATACAGGAAAAATTGTCAAACAAAAATTGTTCAGATTATCGTCGACTTCAAAGACCGGACATTTTTTTGTTAGGTTAATATAGCGGAATTCACAGAAACATCATTTTTTTAGATTCCAGATTGCTGTTACGCCCCCTAGCGGTAATTTCAGAAACTTAAAAATATTTTCCAGGTTTTTCTCGTGGCCGTTTTAGTAATAAATTTTTTTCCCGCAAGCCTCTACGATGGATAGATTCTCAGATACAGTACCTAGCATTCTTAGTTGGCCACCCTGTACATTTGCTCTGTGTCTACCGATCTTAATTAATAGCGCAGCTATACAGCCGACACCCTTAAATATCGGGAATATAACTGGAGAGAGTGCGGCATTACATCCAACACGTTTACGTTACTTGAGGGACAGGTAAACTCAATTAATAGCGGGGCTATACAGCGGGACACTCTTAATTAATCAGAAGAGAGAGAGAGAGAGCGGTGTTACAACCGCCACTCTGACTTCAATTGATCAACATGTCTTTGTCAGAGCGCGATCTACAATCGCTAACGTCTGACCAGGTAACAGGAATGTGCTGCTTAGGATCAGGAAAACAATTCTAAGACTATCCCCTTTCTGGTCCGGTTTTTGTTTATATAGTGCTTGGAAGGAAGTGGGAATGTAATGGAGATGGTAATTTTACTGGTGGGAATGTCAACAAACATGACGTCTCCGAAACTACCGCCCTCTCCTGCTAGAAATTTAGATAAGTCCAGATTCCTACAGGAGTCAAATTAAGAATTAGTCTTATTAAATTTGTATTCAGCTGCCTGGAACTTTGAACGTTCAACCTCGAATTTCGACCCTCAACTCCCATTCCACAATCCCAACCCTCATTCCATCACCCTCCGTCTTCGACCATCTGCTTTTAGTCTTCAGGTTTTAGAACATTCAACATTGTTCAGTATTCAACCTTTAATCTCGTGCACAATATGAAAAGCGGTCGCTAAGAGGCGGAGGGTGATCCAGCTGAAGGAAGTGTTAGGCAAACGTCTGAGAAAGTGGTAAAACAGCGTGAAGCTATGGAAGAGACTTGTAGGTGTGAAGTGGAGAGAAAGGGAGCAGGTAATTGGTTAATAAAAAATAGGTGACGCAAAGAAGATGTAGCAGAACCATGGAGGAGGCCCGAAGGTGATTAATGAATAAATGGCTGATTTAACATTAGCGCAATTTTATAGGCGTGTTGAAAAATTAAAAAGAGGGTAGAGACGCGTCCGGACATAGAGGTAGGGCATTCGGTTTTGGATCACCGGGAGTCAAGTGCGTGGTACGAGCGGACTTTTCCAAATGTCCACTTCAAAAGCTAGAGTTTCAAAAATCAAATCAAATCAGCTTTTGTTTGGCCTTGGAGCGAGCTATTAATAGATTGTACTCCGAGAGCGTGAATTTGGTTGACATCAGACGGTTCAATGCCTGATCAATTGCATAAAAAGAGACGACAGTTCAAGAAATTCCGGAAACTTCAGCAGTATTCAGGAGATCCACGTACTACATTAACAATGTAATTAATTCTGCATTGTATGTGATAGTCTTCTGTATTCAAAACATTCAATTGCTGAATTTAAAAAACAATTATCAGTTCAATGCATTGTATAGGAATTCTCTACATGCGTCGATAAGTATGGAAAGATTCCCGTTGGTGATCCCTAATAGTATGTTAGGCAAATGACCGGTAATTGGATATTACTCGCAAGGGCGATCATAGGAA